AGGTTTGGTTGCCAGCACCCACAGCAGGCTGGTCACAGCTGCCTGTAATTCCAGCTTTAGAGGATCTGGCACCTTCTTCTGACCACTGGGGGCACGGCACTTGTGTGCATACCAATATGCAGACACAGACACATAAATGAAAATAAATCTTTTTGAAAAAAGTCCTCAGCCACATGGCCTTCAGAGAAGTCAATGAGATTGATGCACCACAGTCACAAAACAGGAAGAAACCTTAGCAATCAAGTCTAATCTTTTGCTGTGAAGCTTTGTTTGGCTGAGAGAGGGGAAATGACTGGCAGATCAAATGTCGGTCCTGAGAATGAGACAGAGATGCTTTGTGAGGTAGTGAGAGGTAGGCTCAGGTGACAGATGGCTCAGTTGGTAAAGAGCTTGCTCTATAAGGATGAAGATGTGAGTCTCACCGCTGGAAACCATGTTTTTAAAAAACAGCCAGGTGTGGTGGCATGCCTGGGATCCCAGTGTCAGGGGAACAATGATACTGGGATCCCAGGCACAAAAACAAGGTGGGTGGGTGCTGAGGAATGACACCCAAGTTTGTTTGTCCCTCTGGCCTACACACACACACACTGAACTGTTTTGTTAATTTGGTCCATCATTATAAATAAATAAAATGGGATGTGTTTGGCTTTGTTTTCTGAGATGGATCTTTGTTCTTGTTCTCTCCATCCTGTTGTACAGGCATCCACCACACCAGCCCTGATGATTTTTAAAAAATAATTTATTTAATTTTATTTTATGTGCATTAGTGTGAAAGCATCAGATCCCTTGGAACTGGCGTTACAGACAGTTGTGAGCTGCCATGTGGGTGCTGGGAATTGAACCCCTGTCCTTTGGAAGAGCAAATGGTGCTCTTACCTGCTGAGCCATCTTTCCAGCTCAGCCCTGATGTTTTTTTACAGGGCTCATGCAGTCAGAGAACAACCTGCTAGAGTTGGTTTTCTCCTGCCACATGTGAGTCCCAGGGATTAGACTCAGGTCATTAGGTTTACACAGCAAGTTCAGTCCAGCCAGGGCTAGCAAGAAAAAACAGCTGGGTGATGGTGGCACATGCCTTGAATCCCAGCACTTGGGAGTTACAGGCAAGTAGATCTCTGAGTTCTAGGCTAGCCTGGTCTACAGAGTGAGTTCCATGACAGGCAGGGCTACAAAGAGAAATCCTGTTTCAAAAAACTAAATAAATAAATGAAAAACAAAACGTTCAGTTCAAGTCCAGGAAACATTTGTTGACAGAGCCTAGATGTTGGGGGAAGCCTGCCCCAGAAACTGCATCTCTTTCCAGCTGGCATTTGTAAGAAGGCACCATGCCCTTGTACTTTAGAAGTTCCTGGCTCTCATGGAGGGTGGTTCACAGGACCAGGAGGAGGATCCTTCCACTCTCCATACTCTTGTGAAAACTCTGGAATGGGTTCAAAGGGTGGGCACATAGGAGAGGAAGAAAGCCCTTTCCTTCCTCCTAAGTTCTGGGCTGGAGCCCTAAAACAAAGGCAGACTGCCTGGAGGAAAACAGGCAGGCATTTATCTTCATGTACCTCACTGGACACTTGGAGGAAACCCAAGAAGGACTTAAGTTGGTTTCTCTAACACTGTCAATGAAGAATACATCTGCAGAAGGGCAGGTAAAAAAAAAAAAAAAAAAAGAGTTAGGGTTAAAGGCAGCAGACCAAACAGCTTAATTATGTTCTCAGAAATTCATGGGAGGCTCATTTGCCCTCTCCGGAGTGAAGAAGTGTGAAGTCGCCAGTCATGATCTCACCGCCATTAGGCAGGGAGGTGGCGGAGGCAGAGAAACCTTTTCAGTGGCCTTCAGCTCAAAATAAACTTGAAGTTAGAGGTTTATTTGGGGGTGACATGCTCTGATCTCTTTGAGATATCTTGAGAAAGCAAAAAGCCTGTCTGCAACACCTTTCTGGGTCCCTGGTTCTGTGACCCTGTCTTACACTGTTAGTACAAGGATTCTTATCAATTTGTTACATATTTTGTGGCTTTTTTTTTTTTTTTTTTGAGGTAAGGTTTCATTCTGTAGCACAGGTTAGACTCAAATTCACAGCAATCTTCCTGCTTTGGTTTCCTAAGTGTTGGGACTGCAGTAGTGAGCACCATCACTGGTTAAAAATGATCTTGTCCAGACATCAGACATACAGATGAACCTGTCACGTACAAGTTCAGCTGCCCTCTCCCTCCCAAAAAAGTTAGTTTTGTATTTCTTAAGCAAAGCTGTCTCAGCTTTCCTATTTATGTGTCTGTCTTTAGGTTCATCCCTGATCCCACTGCACACTGACACGTGTTCCTTTCCCTCTGTATAAAACCCAATATTGCCTCTTTAGGAAGAGACCTTTCTAGCATTGCTCTCTGAAAATACTCTCCACTTACAGTGGCCATTCAGTCTTGATGTTAGAGGAACAAAACCTTCCTTTCACCACATACAAAAAAGCCTGGCCGCCAGCTAGTGGTCATGGAGTCAAAAACTACCAAGATAGCAGGCTGTTGGCATGACTTTTCCTGGAAAGACATGAACAAGTACCTGTTCCCCCTAGATAGTGCACCAAGGACAGACTGAGGAAATGGTTCTGTGAGCGGCTGTGGGAGACGCAGCCCAACAGCCAGCAGCAGCCTGAGGAGTTCCCTTCCTGCCCAGGGCTTTCAACACAAGTATTAGGATACTTGGCTGTAAAAAAGAATTCCAGGATGAGCCAGACAGAAGCACAGTCAGTGAGTTTATTAGGTATTGAGAGAGTCACAGAGAAGGATAATACACAATCCCAAGACAGGAGTGTGGGCTTCTCAGGAAAGTCATACTTAGCTTCCTCACAGTGGCTACACATATGAACCTACAGCCCTTTCAGTTAACTCCTAAAAGATGTAGTTTACAAGCTTTAAAGATTAAGCAAGGCTTAAAATTTAGTAAAGGGCTGAGGATGACCTTGAGCTTCTGATCCTCCCATATTCACTTTCCAAGTGTTGGAATTACAGGCATGAGCTATCATGACCACCACCATACCCAACTTTATACAGTATTGGGGATGGAACCCCAGGCTTCATGGTAAGTTCAAAGCTAGCCTGGGCTATGAGATCCTGTCTCAAAATAAGTAAATGTTAAGTAAAATATGAGCTGGTAACTTTTTTTAAAGTCTTTTTTTAATTTTACATATATGAGTGTTTTGAAGGCATGCACGTGCACCTTGGCTCTCAAAGGTAAGAAGAGGGCTTTAAATCCCTTGGAACTGGAGTGCAGATGCTTGTGAGCTGTTTTATGAATGTTGAGAACCAAACCTTGGTCTTCTGCAAAGGAGCAAGTGCTCTTAATTACTGAGCCATTTCTCTAGCCAGCTCCAAGGCTGACTTATATTTTATTTGTATGTGTGTATCTGCATGTCTGCCTGGGTACTTAGTGGCTACAGGTTCTTAAGAGATCACCGAATGTCTTTTTACCACTCTCTGCTTTATTCCTTTTGAGGCAGGGTCTCTTGCTTAATTGGGTACTTTTGTTATTTAGCTAGGCTAGATACTCAAGGTCACAAATACCCTGGCCATGAGTGCGCACAGTTTATTTCCTGTTTTTAACATCCTGTTTGAGTTGTCTTGAGAAAAGCACACTCTCAGTAGGCAAAGTGGGCTTCATCAATCATGCTGAAGTTTCTTGACTCTCAGCCAGCAGGAAAGGTCAGCTAGATCCCAGGGTGAGGGGCTTCTTTCCTTTCCCATGTCTCTTGATGCCCCTGTCTTTCTATTCTGCCCAAGTTCTATTCATGTCCACTTCGGCAAACCAATGAGTTCACTGGGTTACTTACAAGTGCATGGGTGAGGGGCTGCTTAGAGGTGGGTGGGTGACTGAGGCAGCACCGCTTGGAGAGTCCACCCTAGCATGGGAAAACACTGCTGAAGGCTGTGAGTTTCCTGAGCCTCCCTTCCCCTCTAAGAGCAAATGTTCCCTACTGAGGAAATAGCTACAAAGGGCAGGTCCAACAAGAGCTGACTGAAAGGTTGGTACCATAGTGAACAAGACATAACAACAAAGACATAACAACAAACATAGAACCCACTCGTCTGTTAAGGGCCTGGGTTGCCTCTCCAGAAAACCCAGGTTTGATTCCCTCAAAACTGTTAACCGCCAGTTCCAGGATATCTAACGCCCTCTTCTGGCCTCCTCACGCACTACATGCATATGGTGCACAGATATATATGCAGAAAAACCACCCACAGACATAAAAAAATAAAAATAAAAAGATATAACCATAAAGGTTTAAACACAAAAGATGCATTTTTCGAGATGGCCTTACTCTGTAGTTAGAGTGGTCTCGAACTCAGGATCCTCCTGCCTCAGCCTCCCTAGTGCTGGGACATAGACATGTGCTCCCATGCCTAGTTTAAAAGCTGTACTTTTGTAAAAGTTAATCTAATGTGCCTTTACTTCCAAAAGTACGGCTCGAATAGCAGTTTCTGGACACGGGGATGGGAAACTCCGCGAAGATGGCGTGCAGACTCCAGCGGGCTAGCTGAGCTGTCACGAGAGCCTTTTTCAATCTTCCAGCACAACCTGCGTTCGCCAGTTTAACTACCAAACACGTCTCTGCCCTGGCCAAACTGTACAATAAATTGTGTCAGGTTTACCAGGGGACCCAGGGAGGATAAAACATACGTTTCTAGCTCTGCAAAACTCAGGGCCGTCATCAGGAAGGGGTCGCAGCGACGCTCTAGCGACCAGGGCGTGGAGCTGGGCACGTCCGGACCGGGCGCCCTATCCCCCAGTCCAGGGCGCCTCCTCGGGCTCCCAAAGGCCTCCTGACTCCGTTGTTTCCACCCTCGCGCCTCCCTCCTCCACCTGGCACAGCCAGCCCTACGAGAGAACCGGCGTCGCCACTCGCTAGCTCTCTGGCGCCGTGGATGAGTTCGCACGAAAGGCGACGCAGCGTGACCCTCGCGGCGGCCCGTAGGCACCGGATTTCTCTTCCGGGCCACTCTCCTCGGGGATTCTCCGTTTAGCATTCTTGCCGTCAATGCTGCCACTTCTCCAAGAACCACCAGGTTTTTGGAAGCTTGGTCTTGGAAGAAAGCACCCCAGTCCCCTCAGGAACCTCCTCACGGAAGCCCCGGGCGGCGCGGCCGGAAGGACTCAGGCGCTGTGTTTTGACCTCCCCGGGTCCAGTTCCGGGGTCGTTCCGCTGCGCTGTCCAGGCCGCGGCGTCGGTCTCCGGCTTCTGCTGGGCTGCTGCAGCATCCCGCACACCGGCCCGGCCGGACCGAGCCGAGCGGAGCCGAACGGATCCGGGTCCACCCGGCCCGGCCATGAGCGCTGCCGCATGATGCGTCGCCGCCCGCGCCGCTGCAGCCGCCGGCAGCGAGAAGCCGCAACACTGGGCGACCCCGCCCGGGCCTCGGGTGAGTGCAGTGAGTGCCGTGCATGCAGCGGCTTCGGGCCCCAGGCGGCTACCTCCGCCCGTAGTCCTCTCAGGGGTCTCCTGCCTTCTCTGCCCATCCTGCAGAATCGGGCCCCATTTGCACCCCGCAGCCTTTTGCCTGACCTTGGGCGCGACACCCCGCTCCGGACCCAAGTGTTTTCTGTGGCTGATGTCAGGGTGCTGTCATAAAGTGCTGTCACCCGTCTGTGAGCTGTGAAGTTTTTGTAGCCATGCTTTGTCGCAGGTCTGTCTTCTCCAATCCTCTGTTCTCTCTCTTTAACCAGACTCTTCTATTCTTTACTGATCTTCCTTCTCTTCCACCCTTGTCCCTGCCCATGGTGTTAAGGGAATAGTTATCCAGAAGGGCATCTGGGACAAGCAGGTCAGTTAGCAGGGCAATAAGACTCAACTCTTCTGAGCAGTCATCGTTTCTAGAACTAAGTCCCTTCTGGCCATTAAATAAGCACATTTTATTAGCTCGTGAACAGCCAGTTTATTGTGGCAATTAAATTGGAGTAATGAGAGTTGCAGCTCAATAGCGGCTTTCATTGTTGTGTGTGGTGCTGTCCAAATCCAAGCTACAGTCCCTGAGTGACTGCACTTGTGTTTATTTTACTGGCTTGGGTGGCAGGTCATTTTCATTTCTTCCTTAAATCTTTTCCAGCTGCCCATCTCTGCTCTGATCTTTCTCGTTGTGTACAACTTTCACTTAACTAAAGCTACTTTTAAAAAAGATACTTTGTTGCTATGCAATAGCACATGCCTTTAATGTCAATACTCGGGAGGCAGAAGCAGGTGGATCTGTATGAGTTCGAGGCCAACCTAGACTACAAATCGAGTTCCAGGACAGCCAGGGCTGTTACACAGAGAAACCATGTCTCAAAAAACAAAAACAAAACAATATGAACAACAACAAAAAGGATACCTTGTTAAACTTGCCCTGCAGAATTCCTTAAAGTAAAAGGTTCTTGGGGTATTTTACATAATGGGCTAATGGGAATGCTAACCAAAGTTTATTTTTTGAACATTGCACAAAATAGGTGAGAGGTGTTGAAACTGGATTGTGTACTTTGTGGAGTAACTGGTAGGGCACACTGCTTCTGAATTGAGAACAGGAGAAGAGAACAAAAATGAGTGAAGACGTAGTTTCACTAGAAATTTGTCCAACTAATTTGTTGGACTCTTGAGTACCTCAGCACTCGGTTGATTGATGAGTTAACAAATTGAAAATCTAAGATGGACATAGTGGGTGCACACCTTCAGTCCCAGCCCTTGAGAAGAAGGTGGAGGTGGATCTCTGTGAGTTCAAGGCCAGCCAGCTTTACACAGAAGAGAAACGCTGTCTAGGAAAACCAAGGTAAAATAAAAGTAACATGCTTTAAGAAAGATTGTTTTTTGTTTGTGTTTGTGTATATATGTGTATGTACATGCACACACCTGCCCCCATGTGTGGGTCTAGGTGCCTGCAGAGGCCAGAAGAAACATCAGATACCATGGAACAGGAGTTACAGGTGGTTGTGAATTGGGAACTGCACTCAGGTCTTCCGGAAGAAGAGAAGTGCTCTTAACCCCTGAGCCATCTTTCCAGCCTGTTTTTTTGTTTTTTTGTTTGTTTTTTGAGACAGGGTTTCTCTGTGTAGCCCTGACTATCCTGGAACTAACTGTAGACCATGCTGGCCTTGAACTCAGAGATCTACCTGCCTCTGCCTCCCAAGTGCTGGTGGGCACCACCACCTCCAGGCTCCCTTTATAAAGAATGCTTTCAAATATAGGAACAGAAAAGAACACATAAAATCGCAACTATCAATCAAGTTCTTATTTCCTGCTGAGCTCCAGGGTGGGGTGAACACTGGCGCTTTGCCATGGGGCACTTCTTTTCTAACAGCTGAGTGTTGAGGTCCACTGTGGGCATTGCTGAGATACAGAATTTAGGGGGAACAGCCCCTCTCTCCACATTGCAAGTTGGTGTGGGGTTTTCCAAAGCCATCCTCTTGGTCATGGTTCAGAGGAAGGACTCAGAACTCACCGAAAGACACCACAGTTAGTTGATTTGTTATAGAAAAAGACTGCAAGGTTAAACTTGGTCAGGGGAGAAAAATGGAAGCCAGGGAGGTCTCAGGTCTCTGCTTCTGCCATCCTCCTTGTGGGACCCCAGCTCCCTGACATCGCTGTATGACAGTGTGTATGGAGTTTTGCCAACCCAAGCCTCCTCTGATGCAGAGATGTGATTGGCAATGGTGTAGTAGGTGGCCTTGCTTCCAGGTAGATGGATACTCTGACACCCAGAGCCTCACAGCACACCATATTGTTAGTCTTTTCTACTCTCCCTACTTGAAAATGTTTTTGAATTCTTGCTACTGGAATCTTGCTCTGGGATGCTTGTTATCCCTGGGGAAAGACTTCAGAAGAGACACCTCATATGCGGGACACTCTAAAGGGTGAGAGTGGACAGTGGCCCAAGGGACCATTATGGAAAGAAACGCAGCGTGACAGTGACCAGAGCCCATCACGATGGCCCACATGCTTAGGCAGGCTTCATGCTATGCTACTGAAGTCTCTGGGGCAGACAGCTTTCCTGAGAGGTGTCTTCCTGTGCAGGTGATTGATTAATCCACTGGATTAATCCTGAAGGGATGGGCAAGGTATGTCCTCGTTCTTTACCAGAAAGCCTCTGCTAGGTTGGAATCCTGGGATCTTTCTGGAACTTCAGAAAGTCATGTCTCTACCCAGGGCCAGAGATAACTCAGATCCCATTCTACCAGGTCCGAGTCCTGTAGTTGCAGCTCCTGGTTTTACAGGCTGCCGATTGTAAAGAATGGGTCTGTCCCCTTGAAACTGCTAGTTTCTAACTAACCAACTAATATAGAGAGTTGTTGGGGCCTAGTGCCCAGAGGCTTGAGTTCTATAGCACGAGGGCTATTGTCACATGCTTTCATGGAGAGGTAGTGACAAGGACCAGAGCCAAAGTAGGTGTGTCCTCTGGCATACCAGAGAGCAGGGCCATTGTACATACAGGTTGGAAGCTTCTGGCTGCTTGAGAAAGCCAGGCTCCATTCATAGAGCACAGTGGAGAAGTGCCACTAGCTAGAGAAGTACCAGTTTCCCTGGAAACAAACTTTCAAAGTGTCATTGAGAGTTTTGAATTATCAGAATTCTCCTGTCCCATAGAGTATCCTTTCTCAGCCCTGGGCTCTGGATGGAGTGGATGTGAGCAGGAGAGCCCGGCAGTGGAGGCAGAGCAGCCCTAACCCCATATTCTTAGGCTGGGTTTGAGTGAGCTGCTGACCCATTTCTAAGACTCGAGCATCCTCCCCATCCCCCGCCTAGCCAACACCAGCCAACACAACACAACTCCCAGCTTTTCTCTTTCACTCACCTAGCGTTTTGTAGTGTAGGGATATGCTCACAGACTACCTTGATGAGGGGGTGATAGGAAACAGGCAGCAAGGGAAAGGTCAACAAGAAGGGATGTGTGTTGACTCTGGGTGGCTGTGACTGCAGCCTGTGGAGGGGCCTGTGGACAGGCGAGCACTGGCATGACCTGATCCCTGAAGGATTGCACTGCATGCCAGCCGGGCAGGCTGGTTAGGTAAGTAGAGCCACCGAGTCTGCAGGGGACTGGTCAGAGGCAAGCTGTGTTCACAGTGCCAGGATCTGGGTGTGCAGGGATGGTGGGGATGTGGTCAGGTTTACGACAGTTCTGGAGGTCAGGACCCCAGCATTTGCTCCTGGCTTAGAAGTGGGGCCTGGCGGAAGAGGCCAGTGAAGGTGATCCCTAGTATTTGACCTTGGCGGCTGGGTGGAGTAGTGCTAGCTATTGAAATGGGGAGGGGCGAGCTGACCAGACAGTGGTGTCGCCAGCGTGGGTATTTTCTAGGGTCAGTTCTTTCCAATTCCCTGTCAGAGAGCACAGAGGTAAAGAAGTGAGGCCCCATCCTGGGTGCTCCCTGGTTGGAGACCTGTGGGCAAGTGTGGCTGCGGAGGGGAAAGCCCAGCGCTGCCTCCCCCCCGAGGCATCTCCCCGCCTAGCCCCCTGCTTCCACGCCTGTGTTCTCCACTTGCAGCCTTTGTGACCTGCAGTGTTCAAAGTGCTGTTATTGTGACGACGTATTTTTAAAAGACATGAAACCTTCTGGAAAGGTTAACTAAGGCTGCTTACTGCTTGCAATGTACAGCCCTTGCCAGTGTGTTGACACGTAGCTTTTGTTTCTTCAAGGTTAATGGTTTTTTAGACTTAGTAATTAGAGGAGAAACTAACAGAGTCATATGCACAGGTGCTCAGCATGTCATGGGAGGGCAGCTCCACACTCGTGACTTCGCACTGGAAAGAAGGATGCTTCGGGAGCACTTCTGATGGGCCCTGTGCTAGGTTGAGCCTTGAAGATAGCCTCCCTTTGAAGTTGTCCCCATCGTCACCCGGCTGGTGACATGCCCAGGACACTGTCACGAGGCTTAGGTGTACTGGAGCACATGGAGGAGTCTACTGCCCTGGTAGTGCCCCTCTGAATGCTCAGGATTCCCACGGCCACCCAGGCTTAAGGAGTCCTGCGTCATCCCTCACTCCGAATCTGCTCCTGGGTCTCCTCAGAACCTGGGCGTCTTCGGGTTCTTGCTACTCGCGTTTCTAGAATTTGCCTCTCTACTGTGGGCTCTGTTCTACAATTCCAGGCCAAATCTTGCCTTCAACACCGACTTTCCTGTCAGCAGTGCTTTGCTGGCCTTCAGCCTCCTTAGACCTTCATGAGCCCTGGCAGGGCCTTTGGACAGAAGCCAGCCCTTTACAGTGCTTTCTGAGCACTTCGGGTTCCCAGCACTGTGGGTTCAGGGCTATATCTCTGCTCTTTCTCTTCCAGATCTCCTGCATTCCACAGCTGAACCTCACTGCACTTGGATCCCCAGCCTGCCTCTCTCCAAGGGTGGGGTGCTTTAGTCTCTGCTCACTCTGCATCTCTGCAGACCCTTCCTCCAGCGTCCAAAGGCGTTTGTCTTGGGGTTTGCTTATTTGAGAAAGAGTCTCGCTTTGCAGCTAGCCCTCTGAGACCTGAAACTATATGCATGCAGTGTGCCCCAAGTGTACATTTTAGCAAGTTCCCACCATCCTCTGGCTACATGCCACTATCCATCCCAGTCAGAGAGGACAGTCACACTACCCACCTCCAGCCCCTGCAGCCGCTGATGTGTTTAGATATCTGGGCTTTCCGCTTTGTTGAGTTGGTGACAGCTGTCCAGTGCGGAGCCTTTACGCTCACTCTGCACTCTAAACACTGTGTTCTTGGAATCTCCATGAGTGCATCATTTCCAAGCTGCATCATACAGACAAAGGCAGCTTTGCACTCACCTTTTGCAGGGTGCCATGGTGACTTCTGCCCTTGAGCAGTGTGAGGGCCACTGCTGAGTACACTCCCATGCAGGGCTCTGTGGGAATGCTGTCTTGGATCACTTGGGAGTTCTGGATATGAGGTCAACCCTCTAACAGTCGGCTCTCTCCTTGTCCTCCCTCTCCTTTGTGGCTTCATTCCCTGGGCCCGTACACATGAGCCCCAGTCCCTCAGAATTAGAACTATTGTGAGCCTGCACCACTTTGGTGGCCATTAGACAAATTCAAAACAAGAATGAAAGAAAGGGGCCTCCAGGATGAGCTTTATCTCACGCTCAGTCCAGCGCCTTAATCGGCTTACTTGGCATCTGTTCTTTCCCCATAGTGTCCACTGTGGGCGAAATGTGGCGTGGTCATAGCAAGGTGCCACAGGCGTGGGGAAGATCTTCTGTGAGGTAGGGAGATCAAGACTGTTTCTGTGTGCCTGCCAGTATGAAAGGAGAGACACTGGAGAGATTGAAAGCCAAAACTTCCTCTTCTTACTCTAGCTTCAGGTGCTTCTCTCTTAACTACAGTGAAAATGATGCTTTTTTGCTTGCCTAGCATGTATGAGGCCCCGGATGGAGTCCCACCTGGGAAAAGCAGTCAGTGGCCCAGGCCCTTAGCACTTTACTGAAATTTCCTGGAAGAGGTCCCTGGAGACCCAGTGAACATTGCCTGTGGGGGCTGACTGTTCTAACCCTCCTGGTTCCCTGCCCTGCCCTGCCTCCTCCCTGGGATGCTCATGTTCCCAGTGCCCCAAGGTCTATGGTGAGCTCACCTGTCTCCCCCTATCCCCACACTGCTGTGCTGCCACCTCTCATTCTAAGTCAGAGCAGTGGTCGGCAGCTGGGTAGGTTTTGGGGCATGCCCTACAGATAACCCAGATTCCATGAGCCCCAGTCTCATCACTCCCCACTAGCAAGCAGTTCCTGCATTCCAGAGGCTACTGAACCCTGCCCATCCTCTGCATTGCTGCCCTTCCTGTGACTGCCTGATTCCCTCAAGCCCTACTCTTTCCATCCTCTCCTCATCTTTACTTGGGTGAGAGGAGGCAATAGGCTCCTGGGTGAGCCTTCCTCTGCCAGCCTCATCCTGCCTTGATGCCAAATATTGTTGTTTTCCTCCTCTTTAAACCCCTGTCCTCTTACCTGAGTTCTACTTCCTGAACACAATCAAGTAAGGCAGCCTTGGCTCTTGAATGCACTGCTCAGGGTGCCTTTCTACTGGAGCTTTTTCCTCCGGCTCTACCCAGGTCCCTGACGGGGCCATTTTACCCCTGCTTCTTTTCTCATGGCAGCCTCACAGATGCACAGGAAACACGCATTTAAAGTCTGTACTTTATCTGTTTAAAACAACGTAGTGAATTTTTTAAAGCATAGTCTCACTACGTAGCCCGGGCTGCCCTCAGACTTGAGGCAGCCCTCCTGTCTTGGCCTTCTGAGTGCTGGGGTTACAGCCCTGTGCCACCAGAGTGGGCTACTTAGTGCATTTTGCTTTGATAGCTCTGTGCGCCCCTGTCACTTGCTTCAGCCAGAAGCCAGCCTCGGCCTTTTGTTCCAGTCTCTTCAGAAGCCTGCTGACTTGTCTGGTGTTTAGTCCCACGGGAGAGCCACTCGGTACGTGTTCTTTCAGTTTTCTGGGTGTGTTTGAGACTGACCAGTGGTGCTCGTTGAGTCATATTTTCTTACCCTGTATGACTGCCACAGTGTGCCTGTGTCCCGCGGACTCCATCTGCAGTGGCCCTCAGTCCCAATGTCTTCTTGTGGCTTCTCTGCCCAGCCCCCTCTCTTAGGCCTGGTGCTGTAGTCACCTCTCAGGCACACTGGCCATCCTGTGTCTTTCTCCATGGCTAGTGAGAACAGGCCGGACATGCCTGTCCCTGAATCGATTTTTCTTTCTTTTTCTGGTTTTTCAGGTATCTTTTTGTTTTGTTTTTATTTGCTTACTTTGTGTTAAAACTCAGACAGGGTCTTTCTATAGCCCTGGCTGTCCTGAGTCCTCACAGTGTAGACCCAGCTGGCTTGAGACTCAAAGGTCCTGCCTGCCTCTGTCTCCCCAAGTGACAGGATCCAATGAGTGGGCCACCACACCAGACTCCTGCAGCTTTCTTGAAGGACCCAGGCATCTGGATTTGTATCCAACATGAGGAGGATAAAACAGACTAACGTAAACTCTGGTTGGCTGCAGTCGTGTGTGTCCTAGTCCTAGCTGCTGTGGCTCGATGGCTTGAGCCCAGGAGTGGGAGGCCACCCTGAGCAACCTATAATAACTTGTCTCAAAAACATGATAGTAAAAACAATAATTTTGTCTCTGGGGTTGCTGATTTGCCAGTGATGAGAACTCAGAAGTCCAGTGCTTTTGTTGTTGTAGACAGCCCCACGTGCAGAGCCACAGTGCTGCTGTAGGCTGTGTGTGTGGCATCCAGGGTCCACAGCCTGTGGCCCGTGCTGCTCTGTCACACAGCGAGTAACCTGTCATTGGGTTTATTATCTTTCAGGCCACATCACACAGGACAGCATGCGCCTTACGGTCCTGAAAAAAAGGCACAAGAGCTCCCATGATGCTTAGAAACAGTTTGTAAGGTGAGTCTGTGGCTGGTGTGCGTGTGACAGGGTCTCACTCTCGCTCAGGCTGACTTTGGACTTACCGTCCTCGTGACGCAGCTGCCTGAGTGCTGGGTTACGAGCACAAGCCACCAGTCCAGCCCCTTGTGAGGCAGCTGTGGGTTGTGGGGCAGGTAAGGGGTGTGTGCGGTCAAGGTCAGAGGCAGCCGCAGGCCGAGGCCTCCCTTTCCACCAATCTGCTCGCCTTCGCCAGGGCGAGGAGTCTGCTTGACGTCGTTACCCTTTGGCCAGTACCACAAGACACCACAAGACAAGGAGGGCTGCAAGCATGGCTGTCACCAGGGCTGATGGAGACCTGTGACAGCAAATATAATGTCTCAGGAGTCGGTGCTTTACACGCAGCAGGAGCAGAGCTTTACTTTGTGTGGGGTACAGGTCAGGCACAGGTAAACCCCATTAATTGTTAGACATGGAAGATGGTGCTGCTTCTGTCACCTCACTGACGCCAGTGTCCTCGGGCTCTTCCCGATCTGACCATCAAGAGTGTGGCACCAGCAGACAGCAGTGTTGGTTGTGTGGGACATGGCTCCCAGTGGGTCGTGCAGCTCCACATCACATTTCTGGGTGCCGGTCACGTGCTCTTTGTGTGCGGAGCGCATTCCTCACTTTTCCCTTTCCCATTGCACTAATGCAGCGGACACGGTGACGTGGGAAGGAGTGCACTCATAAGTAGCTGCAGTCCTGCTGCGTTCACTCACTGCCTTCTTCCAGATTTTGTGCAGGCATGGCAGCACTTGGTGGGTAGAGGCTGGAGGGTCAGGAGTTCAAGGACAGCTTGAGCTACATAGAGTGAAAGGACACCTGGGCTACATGACCTTGTCTCAGACACACACACACACACACACACACACACACACACACACACAGGAAAATGAGGTGATGCCTGAATCTTGGGCTATTTTCCTTCATTGGCGTCCATGTATTCTGCAGGTGGACTGCTCCAGTACTCACATTACACATTGCCAGCTTGGTGTGCTCATCTAAGACTATCCTGCCACGGCGTGCCGTTCTTATATAAGTACCCCAGGAAGAGCAGAGCACTCCGTGCCCCGGCGCCTCTACCTGAGCCAGGAAGCACAGCAGAGCTGGCACCACTCAGTAGTGGCTCTGTACCCGTATGGCTTACTGTGCCCTGCCCTCTGGGGAGAGCTCAGACTGTAAACCTGAATTCTGACCCGAGAACCTCTTGTCTCTCTATGCCAGTCAGGCTGTTTCCCACAGCACGCCTTGCAGAGGAAACCAGAAAGCAAAGGACTCCCAGCCTGTAGAAGCCCTCAGCTGGGGCCCTTGATGTTCCTGGACCCAAAGAACTGGAAACTAGCTGGGTGTGGTAGCACCCTGCCTTTCATGCAAGCACTTGGGAGGCATAAGTCGGCAGATCTCTGTGGGACTGAGGCCAGTCTGGTCCATGCAACCAGTTCCAGACCGGCCAGGGTCACACAATGAAGTCTGTGTTTAAAAAGAGAAAGGAAAAAGAGGGGCTGGGAATCAGAGGAGACTGGCGGATCTGCAGAGGACCTTTCCTGCCACATCTGCCTTGAAGCAGACAGCTCTTGCTGCTGCGTGCAGGTGTCCGTCTCGGAGGGGACACATGTCCAGCCTGTTGATGTCAGGCAGGTAGCAGGTGTGGTTGGTGGGTGGAGGCTGGGGGTGGGGGTGGGGACAGATAGAGCACTTAGGCCACGCAGAGCCACCCCACCTCTTGTTGGCCCCTCAGACCCAGGTTCAGCCAGTGGTACTGAGGCTCTGAGACCCCAGTCAGAGTGTCCAGGAGGGACGAGCTACACGTGGTATTTTTGGGCAAGAGAAGTACGGCCCTGAGTGCTTCCAGGGGCCTGCCTGGGGAAGCTTCGTGGGGGCACGAGGCAGGCGGCGCTGTGCAGATGGACCCATTGTCCCACCTTCTTTGACGCTCGACATTGCCTCCAAGTTGTTTTGCTCTGATTCTTCTCCGGCTCTGGCAACAGAAGATGTCTCTTCTTGTCCTACTGTGTGCTGTGTCTAAGCTCTGTACTCTGCAAGTGGGGTCTCCCATGGGCAGGTGTGCCCCACTTGCAATCAAGAAAAAATGTTATATCCAGACCTAAAAAGCCATGCTGCTGCTGGGCGGAGCCTCAGGAACACCCCCTCCTCTCCTTCGCCCACCTCAGCGCTGCTCTGGAGGGGGCAGCCTCACCTTGGTGCCCGTCAGCATTTCACATGTACAAGGCACAGCCAGACTCTTCCTCCCCTCGATATGCTTGTCACGGGTGTTCCCACCCTCAGCAAACAGAAGAGAAGGGTGACTGGGCAGGCAGGCGCCGCAGGCGGGGCAGTTCCTGCCAAAGAGCCTGGTTCTTTAGTTTCTCTGACCTATGTGTTCTGGGCAGTCAGAGACCACAGGAAGTACGGGGAGAGTCTGGAAAGAAAGAATGGATTCATAAACAGAAGAGACCTCTCGAAGGTTAAAAAATCATATGCTAGAAGCAGCATATGACTGAGGAATCTAGAGGCGAAAACAGGAGCCCTCGACAGAAGCGGTCACACATCTGCGCTAAGCTGGGAAGGAGGAGGCTGAGGCAGTGGAGGTCATTGGGGACAGCAGTGTCCAGCAGGGTCCCTAGGTGTGCTGGGGTGGGTGCTGTGGTTCTCTGCAGCCTTATCTCTGTATGTGTTGGGTGACAGCTGTGCATGCACAGGCAAACCCCACAGTATGGACCTCACACAGCAGCACTTCTGTTCTTTTCTGCTTGGTCTATTTGAGCTGACGTTACACATGTGGCTTATCATGTTTGTGTGTGTGTGTGTGTGTGTGTGTGTGTGTGTGTGTGTGTGTGTGT